TCCACAATGCACTGTTTAATTACTTAAAACTGTTAAAAATATTTTAAATTAATTTTTCTTAATTAAACTTATCTATTTAAAAATGATTGAAAGTCATTTAAATACATCAAAATGTTATACTTTCTTCAATTTCATTGCAACAGTATTTAGTAAATCCAAAAAGAAAAAATTCTTAAATTTATAAACAGATATTTTGGTATAAGTATATTTTCAATTAACTCAACTAAGCACTTAAGAAACACTTAAAAACATTTAATTTTAATTATATTTTCATTATTCTAAATTACGAGCGGTGAAAACTGCATCACTTAAGATGAACTTCATAATTTTAAGGCACGTACTGTTAACGTAATAATTTTATTGCATAATTGCCGAACTTAAGCTTCCCCGTAAGGGAAGAAGAGTATTAGAAATGAGAACAATATGATCCATCCATTATATTCTATGAAATTGCAATTGCATAGAAAATAAGGTAAATATAAATATAAATCAAGGATTTATATTCAACGAACTAAGACATGCACCTTAAGCATTTCTATCTAAGTTTTCAGTCCATCAACACATGCACTCAAGTGAAAGCGTTCAACTAACATAATAGTGTTATACTGCTGTTTACTTGCTCAAGTATCTCATCTTAAGATAAATGCAGGCATTTGAACTAATTTTGCACTTGCAGCTGCTCCTCAGCCACTATGGCTACTTACGCTTGACTTCTGCAATTCGAGATGGGAAAGTGCTCAAGTCAAGCGTATGCTAGGCATAAATGTCAATGCATATCAATTTCCGTTTGACTTTGGATCATGGTTGCATTCATAAATACCTCTATACGGTCTGTTCGTAACCGAATAGAGAGCGACGGAGATATGCATTTATATGCATAAATAACGTCATTGACAGCACGTATAGATATCGAATATTTTAAAATATTTCTGATGTTTTCTACACAATTCCTGTGCAGCAGCATATGCACGCGTACATGCACGTGCAAAATACTTTTTATGAAATTTTATAAAAACTTTTATTTAATTTTTTTATTATTACAATATATTGTTGTAGATATGAGTATTCGTACTACGTACTACGTCAGTAAGAAAGTAAAAAGAAATTTTTAAAAAAGTTAAAGGGAAATTTCAACGCCAAGTGATTTCCAATATTTATTGCAAAGCAATCGAGTGTTTCGTTGCATTAAAATATAATGGACAAAATTCGCTGATAGTACGTTTAATTTTGCGTCAAGACTCACAAAATATTACTCACAAAAAATATACAAAAAACAAGGACGAAAGAATCCTTTTCGTGCACGTCCTATTCTGTTATCGAACACTTTTGGTTGCATAGTGCATTTTGTGTGCAGTTTTTTCTTACCTTCCTCTTGCATTTCACTCCTATTTTCAGATATTTCCGTTTACTTCTTGCAGCGTTGCAATTTTTATGTTTCTGGCTTTAGTCCAATAACCCAAAATAAATATGAAGAATATTCGCGTGCAAAATGCTTTTTTAACAGCGTTCAGCATCAGTACCTTTTCTATTTATCTTCTGCAATAGGAGCGATATTATTTCGTATACTACAAACACCTTTCCATTTTTGGGTTATCAACTTTTTCTTTTCTTATTTCAAGCTTGAAAAAGGATTTTAAATATTTTCTCCTCTTATTAAAGGCGCACTTAATGAAAATGCATTTATCTTGAAATTGTCAATACGTGCTTGATGAATATAATGGATATATCTTATCCAACCAGAATTTTTGATATGGTATATATATAATCTTCTTCTATTAGTTAATACATAACTGATGATTTATATATTATATATGTGTAGTTATAAATTTTATACCTAAATGGCACACATATTTTCGAAATTCGAGTTATGCATCGTAATTTTATACTTACATCCTTATCTAGGATTTATATCCTAATTCCAGTTTATTACTTTAAGTAATAAAGTGTCGACATAAAATTACATTACACCATCTTTTCTCAGATATTCGTAATATTTTTCAAAAAATTGCTATTCATAACTCAGACGAGTATTTGAAATATAACAAGGTGTGGCTAAATACATCACAAAAAATTTTCTCATTTTTAGTAGCAAAATATTTAACTTCAATTTCTATATAAATTTCTATATTTTAGATCTTAAGCAACTCATCACTATTTTAATATAAATAAAATTTTAATTGTTTAAAATTTGAAACTAGAAACCTTTAGGTTACGTTATTACTGCGATCCGTTGTGTATCCACTTAGGACTATTGGCTTATTGTGTTATCGTATATATAGGAAAAATTCATGGTTTAAAACCACCTAGAACCTTTGGCAAAGTATAAAATGCTATTTAGTGTTAGGTCCTGTAATTGGTCAAGGTCATCCACAAAGGGGGCTCCTGAATATTAATTCGCCGCAGCTACGACAGATTTGACTGAAAGGAAGACGTAAACTTCTAGCATGGTGTCCTAGTTTACAATGACCCGTAAGTAAGCTAACAAAAAAACGGATATACCTGCGGGGCATCTCAATGAAAATTTTGGATTTCCACCTATGGAATCCCTCGCTCTTGCAACCGCAAAACAAAATACAGAGCGCCGCAAGCAACAAAATAGGCAATATGTCTTTTTTCGCTCTATCTAGAACAGTTTACCAAGTGTACTCTCACAAATTTTTTATAAAGCTGAACAATTACAAAGAAGATACTCAATCGTTCTTTTAATATATTTTTAATTTCTTAATTGCTTACCAAAAGTGATGTTTCTACTATATTCTATCCAGAAAGAATTTCAGCGGTAGTTCCCTGTGTAGCTAGTTTATAGCTTATATTATATTATGCCATAGTGTTTCGGCACTCATTCCAGGTGCATATCCCAGTATTCATAGAGCTTTGTAAGCGCTCTTCGGCAGTTTATGACTGTTGTTAAACTCAGCAACAGAGCGAAAAATAATGAAGAATCGCGTTTCATAAAATATCTAAAATGTCGACAGTTTTTATTTTCTTAACGATATTATGATAAGAAGGAACAGGTAATGAAGTCCTAGTACAATATCCAAAGCTCATAGTGAATTCCATAATATGAAGAAGTTTCGGTAGTCACATACTCTCTTAGATAATACTACACCCATAATCTTAACTCAAGCATCACAAAAATTCTATTCTTCTGCTCGAACAATCGTGAGATTAGGAAATCTCTCATGTAGGATATAATTGCGTACATCGTGTTTGTAATATGTTTTGGTAAAACACCATTTCAAACTCCGATTCTGATTGCATGTGAATGGGCTTCATTTAAAATTACAAGAAGAAAATAGCTTTAGATAAGCCACACACTTCATAAGAAAGAATCAAACATCTTAAAAATGTCGCCTTATAGATGTCTTAATATTTATTTTATATGTTTCCTTCTATTTACAAATAACAATGGCAATTTAGATAATGGTGAAACATTCGACATTAGATTCTAGACATATTAGAATGGAAAAACTTTATTGAATTATATGCTCTTAATAAAAGCGAAGATACGATTGAGTAAAATAATAACTATATCTTTAGTTTTCCTGGAGAATTTCTAATCAAAGGTAATTATTATTATTTGTATTATTGTCGGTAAGATTATTGCTTTCCTAGAACATATAATGATTTATTAGCTGTAAAAATTTTTAATGCATGCGTTAAGTCTGTCTTATTATACGGATCAAAGACTTGGCTGGTAACGGAGAAGACTAAAAAGACACTATAAACTTTTATCAACCATCAACCAAGAACGATATCAAATGTAGAACTCTGGAGGTAAACTAATCAAACGTCTATTAATGTTGAAATGCAAAAGCGAAAATATGGGTGGATAGGCCATACCCTGCGTAAACCTTATGACGATATCCCGCACGCAACGCTAACATGGAATCCCCAGTGAACCCGGCTTAGAGGTAGGCCAACCACAAAATGGCGAAGTACAATTAATAGTTAAACTGACAAATCGTTTAACGAACTTCGACAATTTTCGCAAAATAGTGATAGTTCGAAATTATTTGTTGTATCCTTAAGCCCTTTAATGGTGTGTGGAATGAAATAAATAATAAAAATATTAACTGTACAGAATTTGCTATATATTTTACAGTTACAATTTTAGATTCATAATTTTTATAATAATTCATTTCTTTAAGAAGATTAAGGGAAAAAAATGTTTTATATACAATACTTTAACTCTAGTTTCGTAGAGTCGATTTTAAAGGCAAAAGGCACATCAAAGCATAACTAAAAAGCAATTTGTCAAAATGAAAAATATATTTAAATTTAATATTTGTAAGAAAGATGTCGGACATAAAAGCAATGACAAATGAGACACCCAAGAGCCACAACTATAAATGTTGTGTGTTATAGTATCAGTGTACCATTTCGGGAGTATATTGAATAGCTTGTGAAATCCTCTTGGCTGCACAGCGCGAGTAAGCCAAACAATTTGTATGCAAAATGCCGGCTACATTTTTGCATGCCTGCATGAATGCAGCCTTAAATAGCAAGATAGCAAATATTTTGAAACAGCATATTTGCGCACAAAAGATATATACAAAGAAATTACAAAAAAAAATAAATAAATATATATATAAAAACAAGAAAGATACATTTAACAGTATACAATACACTACACTACACTGCAATGCAAACCTTGAGGTTTTATTTCAATTTTTTCAAAAGATAAAAATGATGAGAATTTTTCTGTTGTGATTCCTTTTTGCACTTTAGTTACTTATTTTGATTTTGAGTTGCAGAAATATAAATAATAATAAAAAAAATATTATGTATACGATATTTGAACCTTACATATATATATGTACTTATATGTATATAGGATATTGCATTCATATAACGTTGGACTCGTTAAATTTATATTGTGCCTTTAGGCATTGTGCTTGTGTTGTTGTTGTGAAGTGAGTATCCACAAGTACACGAAATATTTCAATAGCAACAGAAGAGCATCCGAGATACATGGAGTAACATAAATAAAGTCATACGCGTATGGCGTTAAGTTTTGGAATATCAAATTTCGTGCTCGTTAAATGGCACCAAAGTTGTTGAGGCGCACTATATGGAGCACTCATTTCGGTAGTCAATAAAATGTAGGAAAATGCAATTTATATGCTTAAATTATTTCCATGTATGGTACGTATGTATCTTTAATGCAATAACACTTACTTTTATAGAATTTCGGTTTGATCAGCATATGCCATTTTAAAGTACAGTACGAGCCCGCTTAACGCATAGAATACGTTTCATCAAAATAGAGCCTAATGTGAAACAGCGCTAAACGAAGCTATCTTAACATGTAAATAATGGGGTTAGGGGAAGATTGATAGAAAATTGCTTTGGTATTAAATTTAATAATTATGTCTTTTTTTAATATTAATAAAACTAAATATTTATTTTTAACAAAAACAAAAACAAAAACCAGATTGATCCCATCAAAAAATACATACAGGATTATTTACGAAAACTGCCAGACTTACCAACACCGCGTTATCAAATCTTAGAATGAGTGCAGGCTCCTCGGGGAGGTATGCAGATCTGAGGTCAATTATTGCTTAGTCTGATAAAGTGATAAACAATAATCCTGTCAAAGGCATTAAGAGGGATTTTGAAAATACCTCGAGTTAAGAAAAAGTAAAAGTGCTCAAGTGCACTGGCTCGAATATCTTCAACATAATAATATCTAAAAACAAATAAAATTCTAAATCAATCAGTAGCTCGTTTATGTAAATCGTTCGAGTTTTACTCGAACGATTTCTTTCGAAAAGTTCTCACTTGCTTTTTCTCACTTCTTTCGAGTTTGCTGTTTATGTAACATGAAAAATTCACCACACGAGAACGTTATGGTGTGATGAGAGAAACTGATGAAAATGGAACGTTTTTTGAAAAAATGGAACGAAAATGAAACAATTTTAAAAGGTTGCTTAGTGTTTGCAAATAGCACTTGTACCAAAAATTTTAATTTATTCACTTTAACTTACTTTTTTCCATTCAAAATTCAAAACTTCTCGCAAGCAATTTGACAGGTGACAAAAACTCGAACGAAAAAAAGTGAGAAAACAATTCACCACAGTTACATAAACACTTCTAGTGAGTAATTGTCAAAAGTGAGAAAATCGTTCGAGAAAACGAAGTGAGAAAGTTACATAAACGACCCACAGATCATTCAATCTATTGTGTGTTTCCAATTTTCAGTTTTCTGCCTTTTTGTCAAGAAGGCAACTAATGTAGCTTGCGTTTTCCTTTCGCCTTCTGTTAGAAATTATTAATAAGTGGATAAAGCATCTATAACACCCCGTCTTGCTTTTGAACTCCTTGGTTCATAATTTCAGTTATAGTGGTCAAAGTATTTTTCACAAACATCATCGAAAGTTTTCTTTGCTCTTCTTTAAAATCAATACAATTAATATTTTTGTTTTTTTTTGTTGCTCAGTTAATTCCTTGAACTTAGTCATTAGAAAGACTAGCTGCTGTTTCTTGAACTATTTCTTCGACGTCTTCCACATTCATCTCATCTAAAACGCTTTGTTTCGCTAAATTCACTATTTCTTTCACTACTTCATCCATATCGACAGACCATCCAATATTTTCGCTCTTACATAAATTTGGCCAAATAGTCTTGCATACTACTTTAAAAGATCTTTCTATTATCTCATTCCAAGAAAATCTCATGTAGTTTTTCTAAAAATCTCTTATTGATTGCTTCTCTCTCCGTTTGTTTTTTCAAACAACTGCATAAATATTCGGGTTGAAAAAAAAGAGCGCTAAACCGAAACAACGTTCAGCGGGGTCTTATATAGAGCGAATAAGATATTGACTGCGATACGGGATATTTAAAAGATGTTCGGGTTAAAAAAAAAGAGCGCTAAACCGAAACAGCGTTCAGCGGGGTTTCACTGTATACACAACGACGATTCTACTCTATAGACTCTATAGTATATGCGTGAAATAGTATAGTAAATACTTACGTATAATTTTAAAGAGAAACACTTAAATGCAGCTTACAATGTCCTTGTTACACTGTAATGACATTCAATAGGGTCTTAACAAGACATGAAAACACTAAAATATCAAATAAAAAAAAACTCAGTAAATACGGGTAAACCAGGCGTATGAGTAATAACATTTCTCCGTGGCAAGTGTTAATGTTGTTAGCACGTTTTTCAAGTTGTTCCATGGGAAGTTTTTTTGGTGTTTAAGGCATGTTTTGGAGCGCTTATATCTGTTATTTTGGCATGTTATTTCTTTTGTTTTTTATTTATAAAAATATATGTTTATTTTTTTTTTGGAAATTTTTTCTTTAACATTTTGCTTGTAAAGTTTCTAATCTAACAACAACAAAATTGTAAGCGAAAGTGCTTATAGCAATTATTTTTTTTTTTTTGACAACATGTCTTCATTGAATCACTTAAGTTTTAGAATCTTAAAGACTAATAACATTACATTACAAATTATTTTATATAAACATACTATAATGATATATACAATGTTTTGTAAATTATTTCAAGGGGCCTCTGAATAAGTACACAATGCTTATTTACCAGATATCATGGCTCATAATTTGAAATAATCAGGGTTATCTTTAGAAAAGCAGTAAGAACGCAGAAATCTAAAAGTATAGCACTTCAAACTCTTTAAAGCTTCAAAAGTTTACTAAAACAATGCTTTTATAATAAATATTTTTATTCTCTACTTAAACATATAAAACATATAAAAAAATGTTACATTTCAGTAAGAAACTTAACCGCAATTCATAAGTGCATTTTTAATTGCTTGTGTCTGCTCATGTTTATATTTGCTCAACGCTCTGTTAATGAAGTTGTTTATCTTTTATGTTGTGCTGTACTTTTATATAGAAAAAGAATTTCGCACAGCTGTCAGATACAAGACACAAATTCATATGAAAGAAAAAGATATTTCAGCGAAATAAACTGAGTTAATTGTGCACATTTTTTGGTCGCTTAAAGGCTCCTTTAAATCGTACAAATCTGCACTTTATGATTTTTATTTATTTTTATTATGTGATTTTTTACTTTCAGCTTCTGTGGCTGGAAGCTGCAATTCAATATCTTTCGTTTTTTGTCGAACATTTCGGTAACTGATTTTTAATGGCTTTAAAATCGTTAGCAATTTTTCTTTTTTTGACAATAACCCCAATATTTTTTTTTTTTCCATTTTTGAAATTGTTTTTAATAAAATGCTTAAATTAAAAATATTTTCAATAAAATATTGTTACACTTATAAAAGAATTGAAATACATTCACTGAATTTTGTTCTTTTTTTTTTTACTTATAAAAAAATCTAAAATAAAAACTGTGGAGAAAAATTAAATTCAAAAATGCATGGTGCGGTTACACAGAAAAAAACATGAAGTCAATTTGAGACAAAAAAGCAGAATGTTTCAAAAACGCAATTGTAAGTAGAAATGCAGGTTACACAGATACAAATGCAGGTTACACTAGAATTGCTTACATTTAAATTCTAGTTCAAACATACAAGGATACTTTAAAACGTGACAGATTTTTTAAATTTTCTGCAGTTCGCTTAGCAGATATAGAAGCTAAGAACAGATGTAGTAAAATAAATTTCGTGCCAAGCAAAGACTTTTTGATGTGCAAGTTTTTGTTCCAAAGGTATCTCTCTCTCTCTCAAAACTTTTGAATTAGTGTTTTTTTTTCTCATAAATAAATCTGAAATAGTTTTTATAATAAAATTAAATCGATACGCAATGGAAAATATGTTCCTGTGATATGTCAATAAATCCAATTTAAGTTACTGTGTCAGATCCAATTAATTTTGGTAGTATCTGCACTGCAAGTGTATATAATGTAAACCAACAAGATACTATAAGTACACTGGTAAAAAAAAATATATATGGTATGTAAAACATTATTTAGATTTTACTCGTATAAACGTAATAATAAACTTGAACAATACAGTTCTAAATAGGCTCATATTATATTCAATGTCAGTAAAATTTACAGAAAATTAATTTTTAATTCAATAGATATAAAATTTTCAATATATATAAGCTTTGAGTATGTTCTCCCCAACTAAAATGCAATCAATCAACGATAGAAAATGTGTTATTCTACTGTTCCTTACATCCCAGTGGAACTATAAAATAAACAATTTTTTTCATATGAGAAAATTTTTAAGTCAATTGTTATAAAAATTGACTCTAATTATTCAAGATACAATTTAGTTTTTAAATAAAAAAGGTCAGTAGAATTTAATAATTTTATTTATTTTTAATTTTTAAAGTCAATTATGTCGAAAGAAACCATATTTCTTAATAGAAACTATTGTTTTAATGGAAAGGTATTTAGAACTCGTACATTACAACAATAAAATTAATTATTTATTATTTATTTCAATTTTTGACTGTCTATACAGCTGTTTGTATCACCAAATACCCATCACTATTTTTATTTATAAAAGCTATAGTTTTCTGCAGCTAGCGAAAGATAGGCAGAAGAACAAAAAAGCTAATCTTAGAATGGAGACATAGAAAAGGACTCAGAATAGACATAGAATTTAACAAACAGACATTTTTTGCATAATAAACCTATACCTATATCGCCAACGTAAGACTTAAAGACATTACTACCACTCTTAAAAAATGTTAACATGTCATATTTCTATATAAAGTGTTAAAAAATCTCTTAATAATGACAATATGACAACAATGATCAAAACAATATATCCTCAATGTTTTCAACAGCTTTAGGAATACTCTTCGTCCCGTCATGTTTCATGCCATTTTATTATTACTATAATTATTATTAAAAATATGCTCCACATACCATATATGCAATTTGACAGATCTTTTGTGGTAGCATTTCGCTCAATTAGTTCAATTCCAAACTTATGAAGAATTTCCTGACAACTGTGAATCGTATTTTAGCTACGCGTTTAGGGCCCAAAATTCCACTGGCTAGATAATCAAGTCTGCGTCTTACCACTACTGGGCAGGCATATAGAACATGTTTCCTGTTTCCTTCCTGTTGTCAGAGTCAGCTTTTATAAACCCATTTTTTTAATAAAATAATAATGTATATTGTCTCTATTTTTT